TTCAATGTAGGAAACATCAGTGAAGGTGAATATCGTTAACACATATTAAAAAAGGATAGAGCTAGACAAGAAAAAAATCAAGATAAATTAAGAGCTGTTAATAAAGAAGTGCATGTTTTTACACATGATTTACAATTGATACAGCTGTGTCCTAAACGAACGTCACTAAGACGAAACTCTGTGTTCACAACTTCACTATGTACAATCTTGAAAACAAGGATGTGCACTGTTATTGGTTCGATGAGTGTACTGCAGGGTTGGTAGCTTCTGTGTATGCTTCCTGTATAATAGACTATCTGAAAAAAACTCTGGCCAAGGAGCTGTTGCCTATAATTTTGTATTCTGATGGCTGCACAGCACAAAATCGCAATGTGGTTTTATCTAATGCATTGCTGGAGTTGGCAATGGACTACAACATTCAGATCACCCAAAAAATTCTCGAAAAGGGTCATACGCAGATAGAGGTAGATTCTTCTCATAGTGTAATAGAGTGCCAAATAAAAAACAGAGACATCTACCTGACAGCGCAGTATGGGTCTCTTTCAAAAGAAGCTCGTCCTCAACAGCCCTATAATGTTAATATTCTCAGCTATGAGTTTTTCTCATGTACATGTACAATTCAATTCGACCAGGCCGAGTAGCTGATGAAGTCACGGATATAAGAGTATCACTTTATGAACCAGGAGGGCTCATAAAATATAAACTGAACTATGATGACGACTACATATTATTGCCGAGGAGACCTAAATCAAGAAGCAATTTGCCGAAACTAAAGCTGTACCAAAGCAGGTTGCCAATATCATAGATAAAGTGGACTCATTTACAAGAATTGAAACACGTAATTCCTGCTGATTGCCATAGTTTTTACGACGGTTTACCGCATAAATAAGATTTCAAATCTTTGCTGATTATATATTTTGTGAAGTTTCAGAAGTTTATTTCTAAACAAGTTTCTTGAGTTTTGTATTCTTTTACTTGCAAATATTTGATTTTTCAGTAAGAACTGTAACGGAGTCTATGTAAAATTATGCAGTTTTTTCACTCTCCTGAAAAGTTACTATTTTTGACATACGTGGTGGTAGAACTTAAGCGACGATATGTACTTCGTTCCGTATACCTCTAGCTTGCTACATATTTATTTATCTATGTGTACTTCGTACTTTTACTTTGTGGGAGTTTTAGGCGGGAATTTGACCGGGGGCGGTTTGCTGCTCCTGTTTTATTGTTTAAATAATGGTTTGAAGTGGACTTTAATATGTAAAAGTGGTGCGATTTTGTGTATTAAGTGTCTGCGTATGTGAACTACTAGTGGAAACTGTGAAACAAGTGCTCTGATAGTGATGTGATTCTCAAAATAAGGTGCCTGTCTGCTTAGGCGCCTTGAGATACCATCGCCAATCGTCAGCTGTCTGCTGGCTCAATTTACCGTCAAAATCTCCCAAGGGCTACACAAAGTGACGCATCAACATATTGTGAAGCAGTATACTGTGAAGAATAATTATTATAATATAATATTGTAACTTCAGGCTCAGAAGGCTAGATCCTAGAGCCATAAAGCCAGTTATCAAGAAGAAGAATTTACTTTGTGGTTCTGCACAGAGTACTTTTTAGTAGCATTGCCAACATGTGAAGAATTCCCCAAATTGCGGGGAATTGAAAGCTGGCTGGGGATTTTTAGGGGTTTGGTATTATGCATGAAACAAATACAAAGAGGAGACGTTGTAATTAAATTTCACCATGTAACAATCAGAATGGCAGAATCGCTGGAGGGCCTAAGCACTATGCTCAATGACCTCAATAGTGTTTCCCAACGGATAGGTCTTAAGATGAACATGGACAAAACAAAGATTATGTTTAATGTCCATGTCACACCTATGCCGGTAGTTGTTGGGAGCACTAAGCTCGAAGTTGTTGACGAGTATGTTTACCTGGGACAAATAGTCCGACTAGGTAAGTCCAACTTCGACCGAGAGGTCAATCGACGGATTCAACTCGGCTGGGCAGCGTTCGGGAAGCTACGACACATCTTCTCGTCAGACATACCTCAAAACCTTAAAACGAAATTGTACAACCAGTGCGTGTTGCCAGTGATGACTTATGGAACTGAGACGTGGTCCTTCACTGCTGGCCGTATGAGGAAGCTCAAGGTCGCTCAGCGAGCTATGGAGAGGGCTATGCTCGGAGTTTCTCTGCGTGATAAACTTAGGAATGAGGATATCCGCAGTAGAACCAGAATAACCGACATAGCCCAACGAATTAGTAAGCTGAAGTGGCAGTGGGCCGGCCATATAGCTCGAAGAACCGACAACCGATGGGGAAGAAAGGTTCTCGAGTGGCAGCCTCGTACCGGTAGGCGAAGTGTAGGGCGTCCCCCCACGAGATGGAGTGACGACCTGGTAAGACATGCAGGAAGTCGATGGATGCAGGTGGCTCAGGACCGTGCTTTGTGGCATTCTTTGGGGGAGGCCTATGTTCAGCAGTGGACTTGTGAAGGGCTGTAATGATGATGATGATGTAACAACGCGTGATAATTTGCGGGGTGAGAGGATGCAAAACCCCGCCTACTTTACACTACCGATATATAGTAAAACTACTCGAATCGCTCCATATCGATGTTGCAATGTAGTTTAGCTACTTTGACGGTAGCTGGCGGCCTGTCCACAAAGTGTTATAAACTATAAAAATAATATTTTGGCGATTAAAATTTCTTTATCTCTGAATGCAAAACAAATTTCAGCACCTTCGTATGATTATTTTATCATTACTGAGCTCTAATTACCTTTATATTTTTAGTTCACATGACACAAAGTGTCGCCATCTAGTGTTGAATATATTTAATTATATTTGAAAGCCGACGCAAAGAGATTTTTCTAGAACTATTTTAATAAATTACTGACAAATGAAATGTGATTCCATCTATAGCATCGGAGCTTCTATCTCATGAAGCAAATACATTCAGACAAAGAAATTTTAATCGCCAAATTATACAGTTTTCATGATAATTTTGTGAACAGGCTGCCATCTATCGTCAAGTAAACCTCATAAAAATAACAAAAAGACAGGGCCGTAATTATAATTCAATTATTTTACCCAGTAACCCAACATTCAATATTAAAATGGAGGAAATTGTACATGGTAGATTTTTACGAAATGTTTAATTTATATTTAAGTGACATTCTATATGCAAGGAATCACTTAAATATAATTTAAATATGTTTATCATTTCGTGAAAGTCAACCTTCAAGAAATATTTATTTTATCCTTAGTAAAATAAAGTCTCTTTAAACTAAATATTCCATGTTCAATATTAAGTAGGATATTTAATTTGGAACTAAAAATCCTACTTATCTCACTAATATAATAAAAGCTAAAGTTTGTGTGTTCTTCCTGTCTCCTTGAGCTTATTTCATACTAAGTATGTACTGTGTATGTGTAATTTTTTCACGCAGAAACGGCTGGACTATTATTTATGTGTGGGTTATACTACTTAATATCTCTGAGGGAGAACAAATAATAGACAAATTATTATAATTAATATATTTTTATTTACAAATCAATTAAAATATAAATATTTTGTTCCTAATTAGGCATCCGAATGCACTTTTTGAATGCCAATCTAAGAACATTAAATTGTATTTAAGTGATTCTTTGCATATAGAATGTCACTTAAATATAACTTAAACATTTCGTAAAAATCGGCCTAAGTACAATTTCCTTCATTTTAATATTGAAAGTTGGATTACTGGGTAAAATAAATGAATTCTAATTACGGCCCTGTCTTTTTGTTATTTTTTATGAGGTTTACTTGACGAGAATACGGCCTGTTCTCAAAATGATTATAAACTATAAAAATAATATTTTACAATTAAAATTTCTTTATGTCCGAATGCAAAACAAATTTCAGCACCTTCGTATGATTATTATACCAATACTGAGCTCTACGGACCTTTATATTTTTAGTTCACATGACACAAAGTGTCGCCATCCAGGGTCGAATATATTTAATTATATTTAAAAACCGACACAGACAATTTTCTAGAACTATTTTAATAAATTAGGTGTAAAATTATTTACAAATGAAATGTGATGCCATCCATAACATCAGAGCGTCTATCTGAGTAGTATTTACACGATAAAACACAACACTTCGTCAGTTTTCGTCTTAATACTACGAAAATACAAAGATTTGCGATGTTTTCAACACATAAGCGCACAGGACGAATGCTGACAGTAAACTAACTAAAGCCACGCCCACTATGATGACGTCAGGACCTACATAGAATCACAGTGCACAGTTGCTTATGCCGTCTCCTCTTTGTATTTGCTTCATAGTATTATGCTGGGAAAACGCGGGGATTTTGAAAATCGATAGCCCGGACCAACTTAGAACCTTTTTCAAGAAATCTTAATACTTATGGTAACATTTTGTTGGGTTACTTATGAATATCAAATGACTCCTTTTTTATTATCTTCGTTGCACCACATTTAATTATTGGATTTATTTCGGCAACTTTTGTGTATCATTCAATGCTTTTCATGTCTGTATTTTTTAATTTTAAATTAGAGAACCGCATGCATATAAATTCAGATACTATGGTACTTTTCAATGGCAACAAGGGCAGGAATTAAAAATACTCCATGGAGTAAAATGCTTGTTACAAAAATATAGTGTAAAAAAATTTTTTTCGGTAAAAAAGAAAAAAATGTTAGTTAAAAACGAATTTCATAAAATAAGTTGAAAATTGTCTCATTTCATAAAATAAAATTGAGGGGAATTTGTGGGAAATCTGTTGAAGTTTTTTTACCTTAATTGGGGAATTTTATATGGACTTTTGGGGAATTTGAGAAAGCGGTGTTGGCAACGCTGCTTTTTATTGTTTTGTGATTTACATAGACCAACATAGACTTTAAAAAGTTTAAAATAAGTTAAATGAGTTAAATTTAAATGAAATATAAAATTTTAATATCACGTCCTCAAACAACAAAGAAATTAAATACTAATGGAAGGTTTTTGTAGGGGTTGTTTGGTTCAATACAATGATCCAACCGAATTGTTACACTACACTGAGAAAAATAGAAGGCTATTTGTGTATTCTACCGGTATACAGGTATTATTAGTGATTAAAGTTCTTTTCTGTTGTCCAATTGGATAATCTAACATTTTATCTTAATCTTCGCTATCTCAGGATATCTGAAACATTGCCAACGTCCTACTGCTGTGTAGAGTATAATAAATTGTAATAGAATAATTTTTATTTATTATAGAATACAAGTAATTATTTTCGAGTCATTTTTTTTACTTTCACCACTGGTTCGAAATAATCGATGTCCTGGAAACCATTCAGAAACCCAGTGGGACTGTTTTCAAAGTAAAATTCTACAATGAAACTCTGTTTGTACAAACTACTTACTTGGAAATGAGGTGGTCACTTCCAGTGTTTCTTAAATAAGTTTTATAATTATTTAAGAAACACATTGGAAGTGACCACCTCATTTCCAGGGGTTATTATCAACCATGTATTCATTTATATTCTATGACCATTTTTACAGTTTTTGTTTAATAAAATATTTAAACTTATCAATAGGGACACCTTGCATATTTTTTGGGACTTTGCTATAATATTGTATATATTGCCCCATGAATGAATTACTGAATCCGGGAACAAATAGCGTGTGTTTTGTTCCCGGTTTACACAGTGTGCATTGCTTGTACATCACTTTACATCAAGAGTAATGCCAAGAAATACAGTGGAAAAAAACCTTTTCTCATAACTGAGATTATTTTAGGGGGAATACAAGTTTGTTGTGATGCCTCACCAATTTTTTTTTAATTTCTCAAACATGCTGGTTTTCTCATGACTTGGACTATAGAGCAAGTGGTATAAACTTAGCTAACAATTTTATTAGTGCAGGTAGAAATTGTACTTAGTATTTGTATCAGAGCAGAAGATGCCTATCAAGTCACCACTATATACTAATGTAATCAGGGCATGTAATTTTATTTATTTTTATATTCAGTTGTTATTTAAAAGAAAAGAAGTTCCCAGTGTTTTGTAGCAGCATCAGAATATCCACATATTGCCTTGTGGGTGTTGTAAGACGTGAGGAAAACTGAAAGAGGAATGGCAGCATCTTTGTGATACACCGAAAATAATAAAAATTGCAGCTTACCAACTCACCTGCCAAGAGTGCCAACTATAGCAAAATCCCCCTATGAGGCTCTAGAGGCCTATGTTCAACAGTACACTTGATATGCTATAATAAATTAATGATAAAAATTATTAAACAATGTACTGTTTTTCATGTTATTTTTTTAACACTAGAAAAAAAAAAGTTACCGAACATGATAAGTATAATGTTAAATAATAATAATATTAACATTTGTGTATGTTTCAGGTTAAGCGCAATGATTCATTTACATTTCAGTTATGTAAAGACTGTTATCTCAATATGAAAGTGGGATGTAAATTTAAAAAAATGTGCAGAAATTCTGATAAAAGATTGAAACACTATCAAGCTTTAAAAGATGCCGGTGAAACTGTTGATTTTTATACTTATATTAAGAATATTGATAATGATGACTCCTTAACATTTAGGTAATTTTTTTTGGTGTATATAACTTTTAAGATAGTATTTTCAAACCTTGTGGCTGAACTGCTTAATACCTTCAGCCTATCTGGAAAGGAGTAACAATTATAATGAGAAGCTCTTATTTAAACACAAATGTGCCCAAGCTGAAAAGCGTAAGCATTTAGCTTACTTATCCTGGGTTGACGCTCGAAACCGCAAAGCTCCGGATATTAGCTCCAAGAAGAGAACTTTCAACAAGACCGCCAAGTCCTACAAAAAAGCATTACGGAAAGCTAGTCTCGATCACATTAAACATATTGGCGATAAACTCTCTGCCAGACCATCCGGCACTAGAGCTTTTTGGTCTCTCGCCAAAGCGTCCAAGACAAACTTCTGTCGGCCTACACTGCCTCCATAGGTAAAACCGGATGGCACACTGGCTCATACGGCTAAGGAGAAAGCGGACTTGTTCGCGTCTCTCTTTGCCTACAATTCACGTCTGGACAGTGGCAACAACTCTCCACCAAAATTACCTCACTGCGGGACCTCTATGTCGGAGATTCGTATAATGAATAAGGAGGTTCTTAAAACCTTGCGGTGTCTAGACGTGAATAAAGCTAGTGGACCAGATGGTATACCAGCTATAGTCCTAAAGGCACCTGAGTTGTCTCCTGTGTTGACACGCTTGTTCCGCCTCTCATTTAGTACTGGAATAGTGCCAAAATCCTGGAAGTTGGCCAACGTGCAGCCTGTTCCAAAAAAAGGCAGCCGCGCCGACCCTGCCAATTATCGGCCAATCTCAATTACCTCCATACTCCGCAAGATGATGGAGCGTATATTGAATGCCCGCTTAATGGCATACCTAGAACAGAATGACCTTAGTGACCGTCAATATGTGTTTCGCCGGAATCGGTCAGCTGGGGACCTTCTAGCGTATGCCACACACGTATGGGGCGAGGCACTCGAGAACAGTGAGGCAGCACTTGCTGTTTCCCTTGATGTCTCGAAGGCCTTTGACAGAGTTTGGCACACTAGCCTTTTGGGTAAGCTTCCAGCGTATGGCTTATCCCCTGGTCTGATTGAATGGGTAAAGGATTTTCTGAGTGAATGGTCTCTCCGGGTCGTCGTCGATGGCTGCTCATCCGATCCTATGGCGACTAACGCCGGTGTTCCTCAGGGGTCCATTCTCTCCGCAACTCTCTTCCTGCTGCATATTAATAATCTGATTATGCCCGGTATCATGGGTATGCAGACGATAGATAGCACAGTTGTTGAGAGATACCAACCAAGTCCTCGGGCCAGTCGGGATCAAATCCAGTCCGAAAGAGAAGCTATGGTAGAGCGTGTGAATCTCACATTACAGGCAGTCTCCGATTGGGGCGATGCCAATCTTGTGAAGTTCAACGCCTCCAAAACAAAAGTGTGTCTCTTCACTGCAAAAAGGAGCCAGCTCACCTTGGCTCCTTCTTTCCGAAATGTATCACTGAAATATACCGACCGCCTTCAGTTGTTAGGGTTTGAAATATCCTCCAATTTGAACTTCGGGCGGTTCATTGAGTCCAAGGCCAAAGCAGCTGCAAGGAAGCTGGGAGTCCTTGCAAAGGTGCGGCGATACTTCACGCTGGGACAGCTGCTTACTTTATATAAAGCGCAAGTCTGATCGTGCATGGAGTATTGCTGTGATATATGGGCTGGTGCTGCAAAATGCCACCTAGCAGCTCTGGACTCAATGGAAAGGCATGCTAAGAGGCTTATTGGTGACCCGAATTTGGTTAAAACCAATCTTACCAGCCTCGAACACAGACGTAAAGTAGCCAGCCTTTCGATTTTCTACAGGATGCATTTTGGATAGTGTATGCAGGAATTACATAATTTAAGTCCCCCCCCTCTCCCTTCCACCATCGGACAACCAGACGTTCGGCCAGTCTCCACCCTTTCGTTGTTGACTTACCACGCATTCGAACCAAACGGTTCGCCACGTCGTTCATCATGCGTACAGCAAAGGAGTGGAATAAGTTGCCAGCATCTGTCTTTCCATCCGATTACAGTGTGTGTCTTCAAGGCAAGAGTGAATAGGCTTTTGTTAAGTCAGTGCGCTTCACCATATTAGGCTACATCACCACTTACCATCAGGTGGGATTGTAGATAAGCGCTGGCTTAGTAGAATATAAAAAATATATCTGGAATATGTTGTAGTGTTATACATAGTTGCAACTTGCACATGTTTCTTCATCTCCATCGATATTGTACCTTCCATGTGTAGAGATTCTGCTTGCACAGTTATTGTACTCTGATTTCTCTCAAAAGCATACAAAATTGCATACAGTTTTGTATATAATGCTAATGAGTATATTATAAATACTAGCCAATTTCATTTTTTTTTCAATTAATTTGTTATTCATATTTAAAAGTTTACTAGTTGTAAATTTTTTATGTGCATAGTTACTTTATTTTTTAATTAATTACTAAGATGCTTATATAATGTGTAATTGCACCAGGGTATAAGTTTTGCTAGGGTTTTTATTACTCTTTTAGTACCAGATTTTGCATTTTATCTTTGTATTGTTTAATTTAGGTTTTGATCTTTGTTTATTAAATATCACATGAATAAAATGTACACATTTGTCAACTATTGAGCATACCAGTACTGTGGTAACAATGCCGTAGCATCATGCTGAGTCGGATAGCCATTTCGTTGCTGGAAGTCAATACTTAATTGGTAATTTATACTTTAGGAGGTATAAACCTTTTTCTTCATAGAATAAGGGTGACGAACCAGTACACAGTCCACCATCTACATCTATCCTCAGTTAGGAATAAAAATGTGGGTTCTTAACTGAGTAATTCACCTCTGAGAAAATAAGATGGAATGCCTCTTTACTAAATACAAGTACTACTAATAACTGTTGCTTCTATAATAAAGTCAATGCCTGTTTTTGTTAGTAAGACTCCTGTATCACTTTGTAGTCTCAATTTTTTTTCCTCCTTTTTCTCTTTCAACTGTTACAATACAAATTATTGTAAGCATTATTATTAATTGTTCATTGTTATTGTTATTATGTCATATATTGGAATGCACAAGGCCGTGTTGGTTCCTACCATAATATGTGGTAGTGAAAGTTGGGTGTGGCAGAAGAAGCACGAGAATAGAATAAATGCTGAGGAAAGTTGGTCAAATGGTGACATAAAAAATTATAACACCAAAACTTTTTGTGAAGCCAGACTTCAGGTGGGTGAAGGTGCTCTAGTTCTGTGAAATATGCAGGTTTCTTCATGTACGATACACCAGTAGAAAGGGCATGAGTTTTAGGTGTTTTTAAAAGTTTTTGAATGTGTAAGTTTACTATAGTGTTTTTAAATGTGTTAGTAAAAGAGTTTTCTACTTTAAATTTCCTAAAAATTTCCTTCTCATGTCCGATTTACTCAATGATGTGGATACAGTTGATAGTATTGGTGTTTGTCGATTGAATACCTACTTGACCTAACATAAAAACAGTATAATCATTATTAAATACCAAATTTTGGGATGATTAAATTTGCCAAAAATCATAATTTAAGTTTAATTAGGTTAGGGTAACCTGTTCAGAAATGTGCCCAACGAGGTGACCTGTCGCCCCCCACCCCCTTTTGCATCGGTCTTCCGCACATCATGTATAATAATAATTTTCTTTAATTATAGGCTACCTATGCTTGGTAATAGCACACCGGGCACCAAACCCAAGGATGATGATAATGGTAAGTTTTTACATCAGAGAATATATTACGCCTAGAAAATCACAGTATGATTTTTTTTTATAGGATAGAGTGACAAACGAACATACAGTCCACCTGGTGGTAAGTGGTTGCTGTGGCCTATAGACATCTACATTTATCCTCAATAAAGAATCAAAATGCAAATGCGTCGTCACCCGTGAGGACTAAGATGGAATGCCTCTTTTCCAATAAAATGGGTCTCCGGTTCTCTACACTCACCATACGAAACAGCAGTGGCAAGCTGCTATTTTACGCTGGTATTCTGTGAGACCGACCCATTTGTGCTACAAATATACTACTAATATAGCTGCGGCATGGTTCTACAATATGTATGTTGTGCAATATCTTATTCAATTGTGAAATGATTTTGATGAGTTTCTTATGGTCGTCAACCCCCCCCCCCCCTGAAGTATACTATACTTCAGAGGTGGTACAATAAATTTGAATAAAATTTCACCCCTTACGCGAAATAGGGAGTGAAGTTTTTAATGTAGCTATTGAGACAACAATGATTGTGATATCCACTAAAAATGGATAAAAATAAACTTAATAAAATGTAGTAGCTGACTTCACAGACATATAAATAATAAAATAATATAAAATATTCTATTAACAAATGTCCATAATAATAGTAATCACACGGTGGAATCTATAATAGCGAATACCAGAAAATATAAAAATAACCAGAAAGGAAATATAGAGAAACAGTTTATTTGTTTCTGCTTTTTAGATCTGCCTGTATGGTGAATTTTCCATAGTTTTCTTCTTTTTTTTTTGTTTTTAAAAACGTTACCCCACACTAGGATTTTCTCCTGTATTGTGGAGGCAGTTTACAAACACAAATTGCACAAGGACAAACTTCCAGACCCGGATTAATTATTTGTAGGCCATACAAACACTTGTTCCGTGCGGGATTCGAACCCGCGCCCCCCAGCGCCACGGAGCCGTTCAGCCGTTCATTTACCATTCAAGAATAGAACTTGAATCTTTCTAGTATTTAGTTCAATTGAACTTCCTATTGTGTACTGAAGCCATCCATCACCATTCAATAAATGGTTGTATATGTGATATGCCTGAGGTTGACTGATAGAGAATGCTAATAGGTATTAGGTACAACTTTTATATCCTTCATTTCGATAAAGTATGCAATAAAGAATAAATATATAAAAATCTTTACACTAATTTACAGAGATAAGATAAAGAGTGAGATTAAATTAAAATATTAAAATTCTATTTTTAATATTTTAGAATCAACATGCACAAGTATACAAAACTTTATAAGTGACATTATGGAATCGGAAGAAATACCTGCCACCGAAGCTCGCATTATACGCGAAGTTATAGAGGAAGAGGCAGATGTTTTAGACGACTCTTTAGACTCCCACTGGCTTCAAGATGATGTTTCAATAGATACAGATTTTAAACTCGATTTTAGGTAAGTTTATTGGTCTAATAATTTACTATGCCCGACTGTGCCCTGCTGGGAAACGTCTATAGGGTATTTGACGGCTCCGTGGCGCAGTGGCTTAGCAATCAGTTGTTGCGCTGGGGGCCGCGGGTTCGAATCCCGCACGGAACAAGTATTTGTATGGTCTACAAATAATTGTTCCGGGTCTGGATGTTTGTGCTTGTGGAATTTATGTTTGTAAACTGCCTCCACGACACAGGAGAAAATCCTAGTGTGGAGGTAACGTTTTTTTTAAAAAAAAAAAAAGAAACAAAAAAATAGTTATACTTTATTACCAAAGTATTTTTATAGAAGAAAGGTGACAAACAATTGCATAACCCACCTGATGGTAAGTGAATGCTGTGGCCAATAGATATCTACATCTGTTAGAGATCAAAATAGGGTTGCAGGACTGAGATTGAATGCCTCACAGTCTATAACTATACCATCTCCTACACTACTGACTGGAACACATCGGTGCATGCACTGCTCTTTGGGGACAAGAATAGGTAATACCCTCTTACCTACCACCCTAACTAGACAGTCTCCTAGGCAATAGCACCCTCTACATCATATCTTTGCTTATAGTTTACGCTATTTCATATGATCTGCTAAGCCTATCTTTATATATAAAATTACTTGTCACATTGTTTGTCCGCGATGAACTCCGAAACCACTGAGCTGATTTCAATGAAATTTTGCACACTGTGTGCAATTTGATCCAACTTGAGAGATAGGATAGTTTTTATCCCGATAAGTGACCTTCAATTTTTTTTATTGTGAATTTAATGATTTTTTTAGTACACATGGCCGTCGGAAAGGGCAAAACAATGTCTGCCTGGTCAGCTAGTATGTTTATATATTATGAATAATTGACCTTTTAAGGCTAATGTTTTTATTTCAGTAGAAGAAATATGTATTAGTTTATTAATGATAAAATGTATTATCTTTATCAATAACAGTGTTTATTTTATAGTTTCAGTCCCTTTTCAACACCTAAGTATATAAACAATGATCACTGTTACACGCCAAAGAAACTAAGAGATGAAACTTCCCAATATGAACATCCACAGAAGAGTTTTGAAAGTAAAGTTCAAGATGAAAATGTCGAGGAATTTGTAGAGCACAATTTCCAAAATGTAGACAAGACTGGGAAAAAGTGTACAATAGACAAAAATTTAGAAAATGCTTTACAAAATGAGGGAAACAAAAACTTCTTTTTAGAAGATCTGCTCGTAACTCCTCCTTGTAAGAAAACAATATATTTTGTAGATTTTACGGATTAATGAATTAATAGATAATAGATTTGTCAGAGAATCATGTTTTTGAGCCATTTATAAAGAATGACTTGATGCATATCAAAACTCTCTCAAACACTTTGCCTGATATTCAGAGACAATGTTATGTTTAAACTGAAACTTCTCAATGTTATAATTTGTGTAACATAAGGTTAGCTTTTTTTTTAAATAGAAGTCTTGAAGAGTGTCTGTGTAATTTTATTGTTCATTGTGTCATGATCAGCTTGTTAAATCCTGTTCATTGCTGAATTTTTTGTTATATTTTCTATAATACATTATGTCGTAAGTTTTATCATGATGTATCACAGATGCCTACAAATGACGACTGTTTGGTAACTAAAACAAGAAGTGAAAATTAAAAGTTAAAAGATGAAAAAAAAAAGATTTAACGAAAAAAGTGTAATCTTGCTATAAAGACTTCTTATTCTTATCTTAACTTTTTCAGTATATCCAAATGGGTCAGGACCGCCAACACCTCTAATAACGAACATATTGTTTGGCGATAAATTAGACAGTGACTCAAATGATTCAAGTATGCATAAAGTGGGGCAATGCATTGAAAAATTTGAAACTGTGCAAGGTGATACGGATATTTTAGAAGAATTTTTCACAAAAAACACAAAAGATTTTACAATAGACATAGAAGAAATTAAGGAAAATGAAGAACCTGAACTGAGGGAAGAATTAGTAAAAGACGTAAATAATGAAAATGAATATAATATAACAAATATAGCAGAAAATAAAAACAGTGAAAAAGCCGCATTGCCAGTTGAAAACTTATATAACATTACAAACTTTTACTGTAAAATGTGTGAGAAAAAATTTAAAAATCTTGCTGCGCTGAAGGTGCATTGTACGAAAATGCACAAATTAAAAATTGAACAGAAAACTCCATATACGCGCAAAGTTCGAATATGCGACCATTGCGGAAAATCTTATTTTAACCTAGCAGATTTTCTAAAACATATCGCAGATCACAATGTAAGTCTGTAATTTTGTATTTTATTGAAGCTGGTATAATACCTTTGTACGAAGGTATTTCATCGCATGTTGAGACGGGAATAAGGTTGTAATAGGTTGTAATCAAGGGGCTACTGAACTTCTTCGAGGAGATTTCATGGCTCGAATAATCGTGATATTCCTGGCCCACACACAAAATACGCGCTTAGATGTGAAGTTGGTTCTAATGTGAGTAGCGCATTGGACTCCTATAATACTACTTCATCCACCCGTAAAAGTCCAGTGTTATTGTAATCGTGACGCTTTGCAGGCGAAGCTTTGTGTCTCAAACCCTTGCAGCCCCCAATTGCCATCCACATCTGGCTTAAACCTATCTGTCGGAAACTATGAGAACCTGCTAGCATATTTTCTATCCCTTCTATACCGTGGTCTTCTCCCAACAGCCACGGATGAAATAGGGTGATGGATTCTTTTGGATAAATAATAATAATAAATAAATAAATAATATTTATTATTTTAGTTAACATAAGATGTGGTATCAATTTAGTGTTTTTTTATCAATTAAATAGAAACCGTCTTTGAAAAAAGCTACATTTTGAATAAACGATGGTGAAAATGTTTTTTTTTATAGAATAAGGGTGACAAACGAGCACACAGTCCATCTGATGGTAAGTGGTTGCTGCGGCCCATAGACATCTACATCTATCATCTATTATAAATCAAAATGTAGATGCGTTGTCACCCGTGAGGACTAAGATGGAATGCCTCATTTCCAGTAAAAAGGGCCTCCGGCCACCTGCACTCACCAAGCGAAACGCAGAGGTAAACCTCTACTTCACGCTGGTATTCTGTGAGGTCGTGGTACCACCCCGGTTCGAGCCGGCCCATCCGTGCGACAGCAAAAGCTGCCGCGTGGCTCTACCACTGTTAAAATGTGAGCCGTCTTCGTCTATTCTCGATTAATAATCAAAATGCAGATTCGTTGTCATCCCTGAGGACTGCGATGGAATGCCTTATACCAGTAAAAAGTATGGATGGAAAAAATAATGATTTTTTTATTTTAATCAAATCATACTGATTTTTTAAAAAAAATCATGATTTTTCTGATTTTTTTTGATTTTTTTGTATATTTGGAAATTCACCAGTTGGTAACACTTTTTGACATAGTAGGATTAAAAGTTTATGAATACATATGTATGAGACTGATTAAGAGTAAAATAATTAATACTATAATATTAATTACAGTTCATATCTTAAGGTGAAAGCGCTAGGGTAACCCGCGAAATTCAAATTTTCTTATGTTTTTTACAATTTGTAGGTCAGTATCAGGTTGTATGTTTAACAAAATATGATACGCGACCGTAACAAGTATGTATTTACAGAATTATAATCATTATAATCATCAATACAAACGTCTATGCCCGTATAATCCCATTGTATGGCTATTTCCAGAAAAACTCATTCAAAGGGATTATATGAACTAAGAGGGTTGTATTGGTGATTTTAATGATAATAATTCTATAAACACATACTTGTTACGGTCGCGAATCATATTTTATTAAACATACAACCTGACCCTGACCTCCAAAAAACGCAAGAATATTTGAATTTTGCAGGCCACCCTGGAGATTTCACCTTAAGGGTGACTTTCTAAAAAAAATTTTTGGTTGCTTTTACTAAAATTATGAGACTATTGAAGATTTTACCTTATTTTAAGCCAGTTTTATTTAATTTTCTGCCTATTACATTAATTTATACATGTTGATTTAAATCAGTGATTTTTTAAATCAAAATCAAGTGATTTGAATCGTGATTTAAATCATGATTTAAATTAGTCTGATTTAAATCAGCCAACCCTGAAAAAGAATAAACTATTGATATTTAGTGACGGAGTGGTCCTTCATCGGTCACCTGCAGCATGGCTCTACCATGTAGCAATTGAAGATCATTAAAAAAGTTCTGTAAGTGCAGCCTCGTACTGGAAAGTGCAGTGTTGGATCCTGCACACAAGATGGAGTGACGACTTGTTGAAGTATGCAAGAAATAAATGGGATCGAGTAGTGTCATCAACCTTGTGGTCATCATTATAATAAATATAAATATTGACTACATTTTTTGTTTCAGAAATCGCAAATCCCAAATGTATGCAAACATTGCTCATTAGAATTTAGCTCCGAATCTAAACTTAAGATGCATATGACGACACATAATAAAAAATTGCACCCGGAACCTATTGACACTAGCAAAAAGGTAAATATGATATAATATATAATTATATGCATAATTATGTTTTGCAGTCTATGAATTTACTTGCTTATAAATATTTGAACTTTTCAAGTCTAATCAAACTTTAGTTCTATATACAAGTTTCGGCCGTTTGTCGGACCTAGGAACAGGTATCAAACATAATATAATGACCAGTAACATTGGAATAAGGGTTCTCTTGTATAGGATCTAAAAGTTCCTTACACAATATAAAACTAGCACCACCTGTTCTTCATAAAATCTAAGTCCTAGTCATGTAAACAAGTTATATTATTTACAAAATTGTTTTTCAAGATACATATTATTATGACATGTGTCTGAAAAAGTTGTAAATATTTACAGATTAGTAACTAATTTTACGACAACGGCAGAACCATAAATAATCGACTGTATAAAAAAAGCTATAAAGCTAAATATATCTGTTGCAAAGATCTCCATGTTGAAAGAAGAGTTAAGATTGTAAATCGAAATGGGGACACAAAATGTCCCTGCAGGATGCAGGGCAGTTTGTATATAGATGGGGTATCGATGCAAAGATGACAATTAGTACACCTCAACACCGTGGATGTAATTATCAGAATGTCCGTGGTGATTAGCAGTAAGTCAATAAGTAGGCGTGATCGAGTCCGTATATTACTAAAAGCATAAGTCGTCAGTAAAAGCAGGAAAAAGTGCAACGGCAACAAAAGCGGGAATCAGCACAAGCAAAAATGTGATATAATCATAATCAATATATTTCACAAGCACAAATTGTGTAGTCAATGTGTGAAAATATTTGACATACGTACTTATGATATTGACACAATGACGTGTGTGTATCATTTCACAAAATGCACGAAAATCAATTATTATTATTCAGTTTCACTAATATAATTAAGCAATTCATGATTATTATCGACTTATAATAATAATTGAAATAAAAATTGATAAGGAACATTTTGATATGACAAATACTTATATTTTAATAGAAATATGTATTGCTTGATACTTAATGCGTACGAATGTACTTATTCGTACAAAGAAATGCAGATATTATTAGACTGGAATGTAACTATTAATCGTTGAATTCCTTTTTTTAAACAATATTTTACCGCAAGTTGTACAAAATAACTATTTATCACAAAAAACTTCAAAATTCATAAGATTATTTTTCATATTTTTACCTTCTTTGTACAACGTGGGGCATGATCTGGCATTCTCCTTTTCTTCTTAAGGCTTTAAGAAGCCTGAATGATCTTGACGAAACTGCAACCGCAGTGATTTTAGCCGACGTCAACACCGTCTAGCGACAACTTTCTGTATTACTTAGAAAAGTGCAAAGATTAATAGACTGCAGAGGTGACAGGTATATAAGTGATATACTGCCTATTATGCTTGCGCGTTACTGAGAGTTATGTCGTGCTTAAGCATCTTCAATTACATTGCACGATGTGGTGCTGTAGCTTCGTCCGGTAGGCATCACGAGTTATCAAGTGTTTAAGTTTTAAGTACGTAAGAGTTTTTATTGTATTCGTTGTATCGTATTTATTTGTGTCGTATTAGTAGCTCTGGGTCTAAACACTCGCTGTAAATTTCTCCTGGGTTTGATCCCCAATGAAATTTTTAATTGCAATTTTAAGTGCTGATTTAGCACGTGCTCGGCGGTGAAGGAAAACAACGTGAGAAAACCTGAATATGTCTTGAGGAATAAGAAAGAAAAATTTGAAGACATGTGAAGTTCGCAAACACGCACAGTTTCGGCTCGCCGCTCACTTAGCGGCCAGCCTCCACAGAGTCTACTTCACCTGAGGATGCCTCGTGTAGAGGCGAAACACGTGCCGTGCCTAGTGTGGTGGTGCTGAGGGTGGTAGTGCTGGGAGTAACGGCGACGGGTATAGTGGGAGGTCCCCTTAAAACTGGACAGGACACATCATTTTCTTTCTTTACGCGGAATTAAGCAAGTTAGTTTATAACCAACCCATTATAACAATTTGTGTTAACAGTTATGAGTGTAACATTTTTATCAGCTGCTTTATTTTTTTTATTCATAGTGCCTTGAGCAACACTGCCGGGTTTTGTATAGAAAATAATAATTAAAAAAAAAAAACTAAAAAAACACGCGTTTGTAGACAACCGCGTTGGGTGCTATTTCAGATATTTTTATGACGCTTTACAAATATCCACAAAAATATTTATAACAAATGACATCAAGCACAAGCACCCCACGCTTTTTTATAACAAAATTATTTTTTTTATGTTATTTACTATTTTTTATTTTGAACTTATTGAAAATTATTTTCTACTTTAAGTGCGGCAAACTAATTCAGTATCACCTAATTAATAAAAAAATGCAACATTAAAATTACATAGATATTAAAAATTATCGAAATCTAAGTGACGAATTGGTTGTTCCACATCTAAATTAGGTATATAAAAATGCATTTTTCAATTTCACTAATCAACGTCGCCGCGAAAATTTCTTCTTTGGACACTTTAAAAATTAATTTATTTAGAAAACAATATTTACAGTTAGCAATGTACAGATATTAAGTAAATTAAGTATTTCTATTCATAAAAATATTTATAATTGAGTACGAACTCTTAAAAAACTAAAATAGGTATATTTGAACGATGTCGCTCTATCGAAGTCGCGCTCGCGGGAATATATTTAATTTCGGGGAAAAATGATATTTTCTCGAGTAAATCGGGGAATAAAAATAAAACTCAATCAAAAATATTGATATTTTTAAGACCTTTTCTTTTAGCGTAAAAAGTATTTAAAGAGCTTGTGCCGTTTTGCAGAAATTTTGCAAAATATGACGAAGATAGACTTTTTCGAGATTTTTTTTTCTAATAAGATCTTGACAAACATACTATTTTATTGGATTAAAAACATTTATTAAATCCCCTTCTGTCACCCTGTATTTTTTCTTTGCGGATTAAATGAACAGTTATTGTGATTTTTTTTTACTTAAATATCCAAGAATTTAGGCATATCACCCGCACTTAGGGCCTTAATCAATTGAAGTACTTTATACATTGCTATAGCTATGTTTTGAGGGACTTATATGGAACTTTGCACCCGTTCCCCTTCCCATTCAGAACCAAACTTATCGGCGAAGCCGTTTTTAATACTGGACTAGCCCCGATTCTCACATTTGTTTTTAGTGAGTCATCACTGCTGAACATAGACCCCTCCCCTAGATTGCCACAAAGCATGGTCCCTGCAACCTGTATGTTTCATCATTTTAGGTTAGTAAAAAGGTTAAACATGATGGTTACTTATATTCACGAGAATACTACACATTTAATCAAACCTCATAAAACGGTGGAACATTTTTACAGTTAATAACGCAATTTCTTCATAATAATATCACAGTTTAAAGACCATATAGTTGTAAAACGAATGTTCTTATACAACGGCGGGGGCCTTGCGGGGTAGTGGGCGGCGCGACCGCGTGCCAGCGCACTCCACTAAGTCTGTACATTGTACAATACATACAGTTGACACGCCCGTGTTTTATAGTACTTAAGGAATTTTAAGTGCCGTTTTTAAAAAATATAATATCAATAATAGTGAATTACTGTTATAGTTATGAGTTACTAAATAAAGTTGAATTCAAATGACGGCTGTGCTTATGTTACCCTCATTATTTTTGATAAAATTGTTCATTCGAAAGCGAGTACACTACATAATTAAATTTAACAATCGAAAACTGAAAACATAAGTAAAAATAAAGTGTCGTGAAAATATTTGGCAGTGGCAACACTTGCAAATGTATTTTTTCTTGTAGTAATAAAAAATGATTTTATTCAAACTGTTTTAAAGTTATAAGTATGTACAATAGTGTTAATAATAATAAAGAGTAATAATATCCAAAATTATGTTATTCCCAATTTCGTGACCACCCTTATCATATTTGCGCAGGACGGCGTAAATAGTAAATATCTACACGGGTAGTCATCGGTTGACATTAAAGGCTTTTCCAAACTGTAATGCTCTTTAAACTGCGATAATACTTTATATTAAGAAAATTATTTATTTAACAATGTGGGCTGTTTTTAGAAATTCGTTTGCTCAATATGTGGCACCGCAAGTTCTTCGATCGGTAATTTAGAAGTACATCAAAGGCGACATTCGCAAAGCTATTCATTCCATTGTGAAGAATGTGGAAAAGGGTTCTACAGGAAGACTGATCTGACTACGCATTTGCGGTAATTTATATTTAATTAAAGACTGCACTAGATTAAAAACGAATTTATTTAATCACTTTCACTATAACTAGTTGAGCTATCATCGTCATCATCATTATTTATATTATTTATTATTTGATTTTCTATGCATTGAAAATGAATGTCTGTTTCATAATCATCCACAACCATTTTGAAGTTTTCATTAAGCCCAATCGTCACTTGTGTTTCATCGTCAATCGTCAATTCCACATGGCAAATTATGAGGCGCCCAACTTTTATCACGGGCACTTTTCATCTGTCCATGTCTGCGGCACAGTGTGGTTGGCGTTTAGCCATGTTTCATAAATGAATATAAAGTTGTCTCAATTGGTTATATTTTTAATTTCTCGTAAAAATGCTATACTTTGCATTCATGTCTCTAAGTAATTATTTTATTTTTGCCATTTTTTTATCGGAAGCCAATTTTTGTCTATTCTATAATCTATACTACCATTGTAGCCGGCATCTTCAAAACTTACTCGCAACTTCGCCGCAATGCGATTCACAGAAATTATAAAAAAATTAGACTTGTTTAATTAATGGTTCATATATTTTATGCAACTCTAAAAATAAAAAATTAAATAAACAAAATAAGAAATAAAAAAATGTAAAGATTCCATCATTTGAATATTTTAACGATTAATCCCATTAGCATGTAACAACTACTATCGCTGGTAACCTACATTTTTAAGGTTCCGTGGTTACATTAGCAACCATACACATACTAAATTTGGTTTCTAAGAAGTTTGACTTATTTTCGTGTTCATCATCATCATCATCATCATTACAGCCCTTCACAAGTCCACTGTTGAACATAGGCCTCCCCCAAAGAATGCCACAAAGCACGGTCCTGAGCCACCTGCATCCATCGACTTCCTGCATGTCTTACCAGGTCGTCACTCCATCTCGTGGGGGGACGCCCTACACTTCGCCTACCGGTACGAGGCTGCCACTCGAGAACCTTTCTTCCCCATCGGTTGTCGGTTCTTCGAGCTATATGGCCGGCCCATTGCCACTTCAGCTTACTAATCCGTTGGGCTATGTCGGTTACTCTGGTTCTACTGCGGATATCCTCATTCCTAAGTTTATCACGCAGAGAAACTCCGAGCATAGCCCTCTCCATAGCTCGCTGAGCGACCTTGAGCTTCCTCATCCGGCCAGCAGTGAAGGACCACGTCTCAGTTCCGTATGTCATCACTGGCAACACGCACTGGGTGTACAGTCTCGTTTTCAAGGTTTGAGGTATACCTGACGAGAAGATGTGCCGTAATTTCCCGAACGCTGCCCAACCGAGTTGAATCCGTCGATTGACCTCTCGGTCGAAGTTGGACTTACCTAGTCGGACTATTTGTCCCAGGTAAACATACTCGTCAACAACTTCGAGCTTAGTGTTCCCAACAACTACCGGCATAGGTGTGACATGGACATTAAACATGATCTTAGTTTTGTCCATGTTCATCTTAAGAAACACTATTGAGGTCATTGAGCATAGTGCTTAGGTCCTCCAGCGATTCTGCCATAAGGACTATATCGTCGGCAAATCGAAGGTGAGTGATGTACTCGCCATTGATGTTGATACCGTATGCTTTCCAGTCCAGAAGCTTGAAAACGTCTTCCAATGCAGCAGTGAAGAGTTTCGGGGATATGACGTCACCCTGTCTTACACCTCTCTGCAATTGGATAGGTTTCGTACTCTGGTTCTGTACTCGGATAGCCATCGTAGCCCTACTGTACAAGCACTTCAACACTTCGATATACCCACAGTCAACTCGGCACCGCTGAAGGGACTGCAGCACCGCCCAAATTTCGACGGGATCAAAGGCTTTCTCATAGTCCACATACGCCAGACATAGTGGCAAATTGTACTCTTCGGACTTCTGTACAATTTGCCGAAGGGTATGTATGTGGTCTATGGTGCTAAAGCCCTTTCGGAAACCGGCTTGTTCGGGAGGCTGGAAGTCGTCAAGTCTGCGCGCGAGACGATTCGTAATGACTCTCGAAAACAGCACGTAGACGCGGCTCAGAAGGGAATTCGGTCTGTAGTTCTTCAAGAGAGCGTTGTCACCTTTCTTGAAGAACAAGACCATCGCACTTCTGCTCCACGCCTCCGGTGTAATGCCACCATGGAGGACGGAATTAAAGAGCTTCTGAAGGACTTCAAGTACCGGTTTTCCACCCGCTTTCAGAAGCTCCGCTGTAATTCCATCCTCGCCTGGGGCCTTACCGTTTTTAAGGTGCTGGAGAGCCATTCTAATCTCGCTCAGACTGACGTCCGGGATATCTTCGGAATAGTGTCGGATGAGACTCGTTCTTGAATCGTTACTCACACTTGCGTGTGGCTCCAACGATGACGTGTACAACTGCCCATAGAACCTCTCAATCTCATTCAAAATCTCAGGTGTCCCGGAAACGATGCTGCCACATCCTGTCTTCAGCTTTGACAGTTGGCTCTTTCTGGCAGACAGATCCCTGGCAAAGACTTTGGAGCCTTGGTTCCGCTCGATCGCTTCTTCAATACGAGCTGTATTGAAGTTGCGTAAGTCCCGCCGCATGCATTTGGAGATCTGTCTGTTCAGATGCCTGTATGCTGTCAAGTCTGTTGAAGAATGTAGCTTCATCTCCCGTCTAACAGCCATGAGATTAAGAGTGTGATCGGAGAGTTTTTGTGTTCTTCTGCGGCGGGTCTTGCAGAACTTAACTCCGACCGCATGGACAGTTTCCACGAGCTTGTCATTTATATCGTCCACTTCATTGCAGTCTTCTAGGCACTGAAAACGGTTTTGTAACTCGAGCTGAAAGGTTTCGGGACTTTGGATTAGAGCACGAGGGGGACGGAGCGTTGACTTCATAAGACGAGACCTCTCCAACTTAACGTTTAGGTTCAGTGTGCCTCTAACCATTCGGTGATCGCTACCAGTTTTCACCCTCGCGATCACGGAGACATCACTGAACAGTTGTCGTCTGGTCGTCATAATGAAGTCAATCTCATTTTTTGTCGAACCGTCGGGGCTCGACCAGGTCCACTTCCTGTGGGGCCGCTTCTGGAAGAAAGAGTTCATCATAAAGAGTCCCTCTTTCTCCATGAAGTCGGCCAGCTGCTGGCCCCTTGGGTTTCGTTGCCCTATTCTAAATTTCCCTACTTTCAGCTCACCGTTCTCTCTTGTGCCTAGTTTTGCATTAAAGTCTCCCATTAACACCGTATATTGGGTTTTGGAGGAATGCATGGCTCTAGAGATATCCTCATACATTTTCTCCACCTCCTCATCGGGGTGTGCCGAGGTTGGTGCGTAAACCTGTATGACCTTCAGCGAATACCGTTTGGTGATTCTGAGTATAAGGTGCGCAACCCTCGTCGACACACTCCCGATCTTTACAACGTTGTTAACGAGAGACTTGTGGACGATAAATCCGACACCTCCTTGGGACAGATGGTCGCCCTCCCGGTGATAGAGCAAGTTGCCGGATTCGAGGATTACCGTGTCCTCCCCCTCTCTTCGGACTTCGGATAATCCTATAATATGCCAGCGCAACTTGTCTATCTCTTCTTCCAGCTCCACGATCTTCTCGTCAGTCCTCAGGGTGCGTGCGTTGTACGTTGCCAGGTCGAGTCGTCTAAGGTGGCAACCGAACCTCCACCGGAGATTCTTAGCACCCCCTTTTCGTGTTCACAACATTATTTATTCTTTTATTCTTTCTTTATTTTAAAAACGTTATCCCCATACTAGGATCTTCTCCTGTATCGTGGAGGCAGTTTACAAACACAAATTGCACAAGGACAAACATCCAGACCCGGAACAATTATTTGTAGGCCATACAAATACTTGTTCCGTGCGGGATTCGAACCCGCGGTCCTCAGCGCAGCAACTTATTGCTAAGCCACTGCGCCACGGAGCCGTCAAATATATATAATATGTTATTCCCAAATTGAATTATAAAATTGTTTGTAATGTGTTGTTATTTAAATTAATTATAGTGTGTTGTAATTAGTAATATTATTATCTTTTACCATTTGAATTGTTACTTTATGCTTTATGATGAAATCCAATAACATATTTTAATTGTATCATTATTATTAATATTATTTTGAATTGTGATGCTACATTTATCTATTTAGGTTTTTCCCTGTAATGGTAGATGTTAGTAGGAAATATAAATAAATAAATAATAAATAACATCAGGAAAAAAGTTGATTCTAGTTAATTTTGTTTTATATTTAGTTTTTTTTTTAAATATTCGAACTTAAATTAGTAATAAAGAACTACATATTGTAATGAAATATAGATAACTTAATAATTCTTTGGATTTACGTTAAAGGTTATTTTAATTCGTGTGAGTACGCTAGTACAAAGTTATTGCGGAATGATAAATGTGAAATATCAAAAGGTATTTCTTAGATTTGGTGGAGTATAACATTTCGCAATGTGACGCTGAATATAGTGAATAAGTTTTTAAACAAATTACTTTAAAGGATAATTTCTTATTACTTGACACTGTCATTAGTACAACCCTATGAGACCATTACCAAATAACTAGACTCTGTTGTCATGGTGATAATTTAAGACATAAATTGGACTTATCGCCAAAATATTAGTATATATGATATATATTTCTTTTTTCAGGCGTCACACCGGTGAGAAACCATTTCGATGTCAATATTGCTCGCGTCGATTCGCGAGACGGGATGTTCTCAGTGCACATATGAGACGTCATACCGGTATGAATATTAATTAATTTACACCTACTTATAGGCTTTAGTGTTCGCCATAACTGCGATTTTGGAGATTCTTGGTTCGAAAATTCTTAGTTGGGATAAAAGAGGTAAATAGTCACTACGACATTGCCTATAGACCTTTATTGATTTTTTAAAGTGATGCAATTACGTTGCAACTATATTTTGGCAGCGACACGAATGGGTCGGCTCGACTTGAAAACTTGCGTAAGTGTAGAGAGCCGGAGACCCTTTTACTGGTAATATCGTCTGCATTTTGTTTGTTAATCAATAATGTTAATGACGATGGGGCTCAAAATTCATTTAGTATTAGGTGATATATTTGCTGGTTTGTCACCCTCTTGTTCTATGTAATTGGGTCACCGGTTCTTGTCATTCATTTATCTCCTCTGTAGATTCCACCTCGACGGTAACTTCCGAATGTTGCCAGAAGCGATCGCTTAAACAGGACATATTATAGTGGTACTATTTGTACTATAATTTCTATGTGCGAACTACTTTCAGCTGCCACTCATAAATATTTGTATTTTTATTTTCAGATGAAAAACCATTTCAATGTCAATACTGCGAACAACGTTACGCGAAGAGATATGAATTTAAAATGCATTTTCAAAAGGTTAAATCGTGTATAGAAAAGCGTAACAAGTTGCTATCAGAAGGAAATGTACCTGCCAATAGTGTGTCGGTATATTATGCAACCGTAGTAGGTACAGATATATTATTAGATGATTTGCAAGATGAACCAAATGTACCAACTTAAATATGATAAAATCGAAAAATTTGCTAATACATAGTGTATACATGCGCTTTCCCCGCGTTACCTACGTCAGAAAATGACATCATGTCGAAAAACTACTTTCACCTTTTTATATGATGGCGACGCCTATGATATTATATATATTTTTGATTAAAATGTTTTTGTTGCTTCAACGCAACACTGAATTTCATTATTTCACGGAAATTCTGTCTACGATTTATTTTGCGTAGCGTTCAAATTACTTGTGACATGACATTTATAACATAACGTTAAATTAATACCTAAAGTAGTGATAAATAAGCAACCTGCTTATTTATCACTACCGAACTCCAAGCGCTTTATTTTAAAAAGAGTAAAATAACAAACTGTGATTTAAAAATAAAATTGAACTGTAAACCAGATTATTTTATGTTTTTTTTGGTACCAAAGCGTGCAAGTTTCAGGCCCTCGATACTCCCGAACGGCGAACATATAGCTGATAATGCGAAAAGTATGGAGTGCCCAAATCATTGAGTTATATGTACTACGCACTAGAGAAGCTATTTCAAACAAAAAATGTGCGCTACACACGCTGTCTCGCGCATGCGCGATAGATAGCAGAGTAGCGCATGCGCAGTTGATTTAAGCTCGTTGCGGCCGCGTGGTCAGTTTTTGTCATCATAGATTAGGTATACGTAGGTAGAATCATCAGTATGTAATAATCGTTTATTTATGTTGTATGGTTACTTATATCGAGTACAATTTATTTAAATTGTCATTTACTTTGCATATGTGGAAATTTAATATAAAATAGGTACTCTTATTTTAATCTAAACAAACATATTTGTAAATAAAATTTATTAATAATTATCTTTTATAATCCATGTATGTTTTTATATTTTACATAGTTATCTTGTATAATATTCAAAAAATATTATTAAAATGTAATTGTGACATAATAATAAGGTTTCGATCGTCGTTTGTTAGTCGGGGCGGGTGTTGTGCCTTACGAATTATTTGTAAAGAAACATTGTAGGAAACTAAAAGAAAATGAATTTTTATGCGTCTATTTTTATTCGCAGCGAGTGCTCATTCGCAGAGAGTAAAATTGAACATGTTCAATTCAATTCGCAGCGAATTCAACTCAAACTGATAGTTCTACTAGTTCTCTTCCCCATAGAGGTCATCGACCAGATGGTCTCTCCGTCTTTCTCTATCAATCTCTATCAAAGGAAATCTCTATCGTCATCAGAGTTCCGAATCTGAGGTAGAAATGGATCTGCTTCATCGTCATCTTCAGCAAAGAACTCATCGGCAGCGTTGTCATTGTGACGCTTCATAATTATTAGTAATAAATAATAATTAAATTCATTATAAAGACGTTTAAAAATGTCTTTATAATTATATTTTAACAATTAAGATGCAATAATAAGCATAAAGTTCAAATATATTCATTTGGAATATTGAATATTATAATATAATAAACGCATAAAATTGTCTTTAATAATCTCTAAATTTATTAAAATTCTGTTTAAAATACTTAAAATGTATTAAATAATATAAGTACAAGTCGATTATATTGCAAAAATAAAGATAAATAACATTTGTAATATAATTGTAAAAATGGATCAAAAATTTTCTAAGTTGATGAAGGTTAATGAGAGTGTTCATGTAATGTTCCCTTATAAGAGGGGCGTTGCCGGAGACATACCCAAGGTTGTACATATATGGGGTGGTCGGCTGACCGACTTGCTAGTAGTAAGGTTGCACAATGACTAGTCCTATATTAGGGACGTAAGGTCTGTGATAAAAAAGCATTAATATAGAAGGTATCTATGATGCATAAGCATTAGCAGAGTTATGACTTGAAGTCCCATAATGATGTATAAGCATTATATTGAAAGAAGTGGGACATATATGTGATGGTCGGGTGACCGACTGCTAATAATATTGTTGCACAATAACTAGTCCTATATTAGGGACTTATGATAGTAAGGTCTTTAGAACCAAAGCATTAATATAGAAGGTCTTTATGATGCATAAGCATTATGATATCAGAGTTATGACTTGACGTCCCATATGTATAAGACATATAATAGTATGGTCTATGAAATAAAGCAAATATGTGGGAAGGTCTCAAATATGTTAAAGCATTATATTGAAAGAAATGGGACTTGAAAAGGATTATTATAGTGGCGTGTAGATTGCTTCACAGCGTCCGAGACCGAGGTAAACTAGGACTCGCTAACCGATGTGTCCTAGACATGATATCATCTTAGTGCCGGTGGTAAGCGGGTTTGTTGTAGCAACACGACTTGCCCGTGGACATCGCACACCTCTACCGTTTGTAGGCGGCGTCTTAGCGCATAGCGTTATGATACGTCGGCTATCTTTCGGATTAGGGTGAGTATGTTTGGTAGTACTTTTAAGTACAGCAAGCATACTCAACTCCATGTCTTAGTGCAATAGCGCTACGATACGTGGAGTTTTGGCTACTGGCGTCTTAGTAGCGTGCTACTATGATACGTTGGTGGTATTTTTAGTTAACAACATTATCAATTTTGTTACCAAAGTCGATAGGGATCATGTGGATGTGTTGTGAGGGGGCGCCATCCGTATGATAGTTGCATTGATGCTTACTGCTACTTGCGGTATTGCGTCTTGTGATGGATCTGCGGGTGTGCTGCGCCCATAGATTACCTCCTAATAGATACCGCATCATTGAATATTTGTTCTGTTTTGAGTTCACCAAATGTGTCGGTATGCAAGGGTTGCGGGGGACGTGTCAAATGCGCTGTGATTGGACATTTACAGGTCAAACTTAGAATGCACCAAACCGTAGTGATGTAACAGGGTTGGGACGTTGATCGATAAATTTGGGATTTATTGATTATTGATAAATAAATATATTGATCAATTTTTATTTGAAGTATATTAAAAACTAAAACAATCTATACATATATTTGTACATTTAATTTATAAATATATGTTTGACTGATTTTTAAAATGAATAAGATTAGTATAAAATTGTCTCACAGAATTCTTAGGATCTGTCTTCCTGGATAAGTAGAGTAATCTTTATGTCTATGTATTTGCCATGACACTCTTAGCTAAATCAATGACATGATTACAACGTTCATGATCGAATTGGTGATTTTTATTTCAGGAAAAATATCCTCATTAACAACACTGTATAATGTTTGTGTTACAAAACTTGGACGACCATCTACAGATCTGTACCACTTTCCTAGTGTTTTACAGAGGAATAACAAGTATTAAATGTTTTGCTTACATAATTATTAGTCTCAATTGAGTAAAAATTTATGGTGAGTGTAAAAGTTCTCAACTGTAGTGAATATTTTTTTCTAACAATTTTGCCTGATTTTCCTTTCAATATTTGACGACGTATAATTTCACCACATTTGACTCTTAAGGAACTTAATACGTCATTGTTTTCGGCTGTTAACAAATTTTTGTTTCCTAATTCTACCAATAATGACATTAAGGAAACTAGTTGTCTTTTTAGTCTTCTGTTGGAATCACTTAACTTTTTAATTTTTTTATCTTTTCCGTTCATTACGTCGGTTAATATGATGATTCTTCTATAAAGATGTTTTTAACTGGAGTATCAAATGCAGATGGCATATCAGGTATAGGAGAAAATTTTATTTTTTTTGTTTTATAGGCGTTTCTAAGTAATGGCTCTGATTTTTAGGTGTTGGCGAGTTTTTTGCGTCTTCCAGCGGTGAATCAGTAATCTGAAATAAGTATTCGTTTCTTTTAAAATACTACCAATAGTTATTAAGGTACTTATAATACGTTTGTTATTTATTTATACAAATAATCATGTAATTAATTCTTATTATAATCATACCAACTTTTTCAATGATGTGCCGGCCACAGGAATTTCCGTATTTTTAGCTGCAATATCTGCACTTGCACCTATGGTAGGGACGGGTGCCTAGAAGTAGTAGTAATTAATACACCATACGGCACGTCTTAAAAATTTAGATGTACTTAATAATAATATGTAAGATATTACTGAAGGTCATTTAACACTAGAATAGTAAATCAAAACAATAATCGCATTATAACTAAAAAAAAAACATGTAAGTTTTATGATTTATAAATCCGTTAAAAATAGTTTGATTTCGACATGTAACATTCACATCTTTTTCCTTTCGGGGCATTTAGGAAACCAATATTATTTGAAATATTTTATGTAAAATAATTATTTATTATAATAATATCATATAAATATAATTTATATTCAACGGAAATCCTAATTCCACCTACAATGGTGTTAAAAAAATGTTCGAAGTGTAAAAAAAATATCACGAAGAAAGCCCCAGGCCTAGAGTGTAGCAGATGTGAGAAGATAGTTCACACTGATGCCACCTGCTCTAAACTATCTAATAAGCAGCTGAATACGCTACGCAACTCTCCGGGCATTGAGTGGAGCTGTGAAGACTGCTTAAAAAATATTTCTAGAAGATCTTCATTCATAATTCCAGAAGACGACGATGGAGATGATGAATCCGAACTAGGGTCCAACCTACAGCCTATTGACACACGCAAGCTAGTACAAGATATTAGTCGCGAGATTAAAAAAACCTTTAAGGAGGAGGTACGCAACCTCGAGTCCTCCCTGGAGTTCTTGAGTGATCAAATATCTACTATGGAGCAGTCTATAAGAAAACAGGATGGTGCCATCAGGGATTTGGAGACCAAAAACCAAGACCTAGTTAACAAAAATAAAAATCTAGAACTAAGGGTATCTGCGATGGAACAAGAGATGAATAATTACGAACAAAAAAGTCTTGCATCTACTCTAGAAATAGCTGGTTTACCCGATACACCTCCAAAAGATATACCAGAAGTACTTGCAACAATAGCTGTTAAACTTGAATTAAACAAAGATGATATTCAATCTTCGTCACGCCTACCCGGATCAAAAAATAAACTTGGCCCGATTCTCGTCGAAATGAAGAGTAAAGGTATCCGTAGCCGATGGATTGAAGCCAGCAAAAGAAGAACGCTCACAGCTGGAGCTCTAATACCCAACACACCCCAGGATTCCGTCGAAAACCGAGTAGGTATACTTCAGGGAAGCACTTACGAAATTGAATAAAACACTATTGTATACAGCAAAATCCCAACTAGGTAAATCTTTTCAATTTATATGGTGCAAAGATGGAAAAGTGTGTGTTCGAAAAACTAGCAATAGTAGAATATTTTATATCCGATCTATTTATGATATTGATCGCATACGAAAACAGCCGGAAGGCTCCGTGATTCTTAATTAGTCACTCACTTTCAAATCACAGCTTTCGTAATTAAAAACAGTTGTAATAGTATGTCAGAACAAATAAAACAATTAACAAATTGCTTTTCAATAAACTCGTTTTTCAAACAGCTACCTAGCAATTGTCATTTAAATATTTCTTGTTTGCACGTTAACATAAGATCGATGATAAAAAACTTTACGAAATTACAACAAGTAATTCACAACTGCACGTTCCCTGTAGACATAATAGTTGTAACAGAGGCTGGTGTTTCCAATAGTATTGTAAATCTATATAACTTGACGGGCTATAACATGTATCCACAACTACGGTCTAACAAAAGAGGGGGTGGCATTATTGTATACATTAAAAATTACCTTAAATTCACCTTAATACAACAGCAAACCAAAACATTTGAGAACATAACAGGTACTATTAAACTTAACTCAAATCAAGATATAGTTTTGTATGCAGTATATAGACCGCCAAAAACAAATAGATATATTTTTGTAAAGGAGTTGAGCAAATGCATGTCTACGTTTCACAGTAAGAGAAATCTAATCTTGATAGGTGATACCAATATTGACCTAAAAAGTGTATCATCACTTACAGACTCATACCTAGAAATGCTCAGCGAGCACGGATTAATGTGTGGAATATCTGACTACACTAGGATAGAAAAAAAACTAAGTCTTATCACAAAGTCCTGCATTGACCACATGTTTTTACGTCTCCCTACATTTAATCCGTACGCCGCGGCGTTAGATATTACACTGGCAGATCACCGAGCAATCATGCTCGCTTGCATGGGCGATTCAGTTATTGTTGACACACGGGAGGTTTTAAAACAAGTCATTGATTATGATATCCTTTACAAAGAATTAAAAAACGTAAAATGGCTTCAAACAAACTCTACGAAATCACCTGTTGAGATCTTTAATTTCATTAAACGATCTTTTCAAAATGCTAAAAAAGCAGCTACGAGTATTATTAAACATAAGTTTAACAAACTAAATACTACTAATCAATATAAACTACCATGGATCGATGATAATGTCAATCGATTATGCGAAAAACGTGACAAACTGTTCCGTTCTTGGAAACGAAATCCACTCGACTCTAAATTAAGATTAGAATACAATACAATAAGAAATAAAGTTCATAAAGTATTAGAGAATAAACGAAATAGATACTATATTCAAAACATTCAACAGAATTTCAAAAATACAAGAAAAGTTTATCAAATAATCAACAAAATGCTAGGGCGTGTAACATCATCAGTGGATGCGGCAGTTTTAAAAGCCTTTGAAGGGCAAACTATCAAAGATATCGCAAATAACTTTGCAATGGGATTTGATAACGCTGTAAAAAACATAATTCAAACCTGTAACTCGAATTTGTTAAGTCCCAGTATGTATTCTCGACCAAATAATTCTAGTATATATTTTCAAAAAGCAACCCGTGACAAGGTTAATAAAATAATCAAAAAACTTAGCTCTAAAAAGGCACCAGGCTCTGATAATATTGGGGTTTCTGATATAAAATGTATGGACACAGAAGGGGCCTCGGCCATTGCCAACCTAATTAATACAAGTGTTGAAACTGGCATTTATCCCGACGAACTAAAGATAGGATGTGTTAGACCAATATACAAGAAAGGAAGACGGGATGATTTCCTGAACTATCGACCAATCACCTTATTATCTTCAATTAACAAAATTGTAGAAAAGTATGTGTGTGAACAAATTTATAAATTCTACAATACGCACGATGTAATATATGAAAATCAGTTTGGTTTTCAAGCTGGGAAGAGTTCAAATGATCTTTTGATGAAGTTAACAGATGAAATTAACGAGTATCTAAATAACAAAAACCATGTACTCGTCCTATTTATTGACTTTTCACGGGCATTCGACACTCTTGATCATAAAAAAATCATCACTAAGTTGGACGATTGTGGAATACGGGGACCTCTTCTGAAATGGTGTACAAATTATCTCAAAAATAGGAAATTCTCTGTGAGAATAAATGACACACACAGCGACCCAGTGACTGTAACTGAAGGCACAGCACAGGGATCTGTGCTTGGCCCCCTCCATTTTCTATCATATCGCACCTTTAGGATGAAACCGACCTAACTCAAAAAAATGGTAAAATGAGTTATGATCATTGAATGACTCAAAAAAACTTTGTCTATCTATCTGTCCATAAAAAACCGCCGTATTCGGGTGGGAACGGGACAAACCAGTACAATCGGTCTCTTTCTTACTCGCAAAATTTCGGGACCGCGTCGTTGCGGAAACGACGCTTTTAGTATTGTGTTGACAGTGTCGTGCATGTGACGTTACGCAGATAGGCAAAGATTGACCGAAAACTGATTAAGGCGATTTAATTCCGAAACCAGCGGTAAGTTCACTTCAGTTTCTTAGGTAATAAAACGACAAACTTCGCTTTGTGCTTTTTTTATTCCGATAATTTTGTCACTTTAAGTGACTTATTTAAGTTTTAGTCATTTTTATGCTAAAATTAATAATAATCTTAGTGACTCACTTAAGTTTAAGTCTTTTCATTAATACACTAATCCTAATATTTCTTGACTCAATATGACAGACTTAAAATTAGGTCGTTATTTTATTTATCGAAGTATTACCTTTTGTGTTCTATTAAGTATTGAGACTATTTTTTATTATTTACTAGGTGAAAAAAGAAGGCATAATAGTTAATACGTCTATTTACGACTATTAAATACAATACAGTTTAATAAAAAGTCACTTGGAATTCAAAGAAATGAAAAGAAGAAGCGATATCATAATGAACATTGCTTTAGGAAAAGATAAATATTGCAAAAAAGGAGAACTTGAGGTAGTTACATATTTTATTTGTCAATGATTTTTTTTTTGTGCAACCACCTTTATTTTTACTTATTAGTTGTAAAACGTTTAATTATGGTTTCTGTCACCCAATAGGGATTGCCAAACAACAAAATGAAAGAGAACTTGTCTCCGAATTCTGTGGTCGATGAAGTCGTCAAAAACTCACCAAGTATAATCAGTCTTGGTGACAGCACCCAAAACGAACTAGTAAGATATAGTTTGAATATATTTTTTTTAAATCTATATATCTCTATAATAGGTGGGTCTATGTACTCATCAAACTAAACTTAATTCTCGTTTGTTTCATTTTAGAAATGGACAGTCAGCAATCGAACGGAAGAGTTGTCGCCAAGTTCCTCAGTCACTGAAAATTCGCCAAATAAAGATATTATTAGCAACAATATTTTAAATTGCTGTTATAATAATGTTGTTGAAATGGTAAGTGCTACATTGGTTTTCAGTAGTTTTTGATTGTTTCAAACTAATTTTGCCTGGGCCTATCACTAATTTATTTTATACAATGTTTTTTTTTGTTTTTAAACAGTGGAAAAGCAGTTCAAAAAAGTACCGGCTTGAATCTTCTCCTGACGATTGTAATAAGTCAAATTTTCCAATTACTAGAAGACCAAGTCATGAAAAAAGATTATCTTCATCATCTAGCAGTTCCACTTCATCGCGTTCAAGTTCCAGTTCTAGTTCCAGTTCAAGTTCCAGTTCTGGTTCCTGTTCTAATTCCATAAAATCATCCACTTTGAGTGATATTGTCACAAATACCATGGATCCAAACGTCACACATAAAGATCCAAATGCAATGAGTGCTAGTACCAGTCAATCAGACATAAACATTTCTTTCAGATCTAGTTCAAGAGTGCTACCTAATTATTGTATATCACCGATTAATACTCTCGAAAGTGATCCTGACTTAAGTGAAGTCGACCTCAAATTCAAGACCCCAATAAAATTTCTATTCTTCGTAGAAGTTCCTCTTCCTCAAGTGGCGCTACTACACCTCAATATGAAATACAACAACCTGGGAAAAGTAATGTTAGTGAAACAAACATGACTCATATAAAATGTAAAAAACGGCAACGTAATCCACTAATGTGGAAACAGAATATCAACAAAATATTGCGAAATACTGGAAAATCCTACACTTCCTTGTCAAGATCTAAAAAAGAAGTTCCTTCCCGTAGTATGAAAACCCCGTGTAAGCCTTGTCGATTAAAATGCTCTGACCAAATAGATGAAGTCCAAAGGCCTAACATTTTTGAAATGTTTTGGAACCTTTCTAATTTGAACCTTAAAAGATCATTTATTAAATCTTGCATGATGGAAGTGAGGCCAAAATATAAATATACGAATGCTCAAAAACCTAGATCACCTAATATTGAATTTTTTTTTCACAGTAAACAATCAAAAAATTAGAGTTTGTAAAACATATTTCATGAAAATGAGTTAAAGCAGAAATTAATGATGTCGGATTTATAGCTGAGGATCAAAGAGGTAAGCACACTAATAGAAAAAAAAATAGACGAAACCATTATTAAGGACATTGAGAGTCACATAAGTACAATCCCTAGGATGGAGTCACATTACATCAGGGCATCCACATCGAAAGAGTTTATTGACGGCAGTAAAACGGTTAAAGATCTCTGGAGAGACTTCTGTGAAAACAGAGATCCAATGAAACCTAAAGTGGAGTACTGGCTATATTATCAAGTGTTTAATAACAATTTTAATATCGGATTCTTTCAGCCAAAAAAGATCGTTGTGATCTTTGTTTACAATATGAGATGGCATCTGTAGACCAAAAAGTAAACTTGCAAGAGAAGTTTGACAACCATATAAAAGAAAAAGATCTTTGTCGTATTGAAAAAAAAAATGATCGTAGGATGCTTGGTGATGAATATAATATTTGCACCGTCTATGATTTACAGGCTATCATGCAATGTCCTGTGGGAGAATGCAGTTCTTTTTATTATATATTTAAACTAATCTGCTTGAATTTCACCATGGCTGAATTGGCTGCTATTAAACACCATAATATAAATACAACTGCAAAGATCCCAAGAGTATGTGAGATAACTGAAAGCGAAACATTTGGCGCTTATGGGGATGTCTATATTTTTTTTAGGGATGAAACACAGGGTAAAAGTGGAGCAAACAAAATAGGATCTTGCATACTTGAGTATTTGAAAACGGTCAGTGAAAAATCTCCTGATAAACAATTAAACATAATTTTTTACTCCGATAATTGCTGCGGGCAAAATAAAAACAAGTTTATTGCTTGTCTGTACTCGTATGCTGTGTCTCAATTTCCAAATATTACAAGTATCACTCACAAGTATTTAATACGAGGACACACCCAGAATGAAGGTGATAATGTTCACAGTTTCATTGAAAAAGAGATAAAAAGAAATCTAAAATCTGGTCCTATATATACATCCCATCAATATGTAACGTTGATAAGAAATACTAAAAAATCTGGCAATCCTTTCAAAGTATTCGAGTTAAATTATGACTTTTTATTAATTTGAAATCCTTACACGATCAGTGGGGCTATAATTTCAACGAAGATGATGAACGTAACACAGTATCCTGGAACGATATAAAAGTGTTAAGTTTCTTAAAAAACAAACCCTTCGAGTTTTTCTACAAAACCTCATATGCCCAAGAAGATTTCATTCGTGTAAATATGAGAAACAAAATGACAAGCTTGGAAGAGATCTCAATTTCTAAAGCGTTCATGAATAAAATAAAATTAAATGAAAATAAAAAGAAAGGTTTAAGTGAATTACTCAGGAAGAATCTAGTACCTGGTTTTTATATAGATTATTATAAATCGTTATTAGAAGACTGATTACTTTAACTGATTTTTTTGGATTAATTTTAAGTGTTAATTATTATTGGAGTTCCTATTACGTTACTTTATAGTAATAAATTACCCAAAGACACATTTTAGATGAAGAATATATTATTTAGCTTTACTTTTAAGGTTGATTGTTGTTTTTATGTGACTCAGACATTACAATTAGTGTCAAATGATACTATGTGATATTTAGTTAGCATCCAGTTAAGTAATAATAGTTCCTAATGAAAAATATCTGTTCAATTTTAATTTTTGATCTATGATAACTTGACAGGTAACTGAGGTATTACCCTCCATACGAACAGTTATGCTCTTAAATAATCTCTATAAATATTACTTATTCATTATTTTTGTTAATATATTATAATTCTATTAAATCGTTGTTTTTTTAATTACTATTATGACTTATAAATGAAATTGGGTTTGCAATTGTACGAAGAAAAAAGACTTAAAAATGAAAACGGTAAAAAATAACTACATCAGATAAATACGAAAAAGACTTAATTCTTAAACGGTCAAATTTCAGATGTGTTTTTTTTATTAAAAAGAGGACATATTTCCTATTTGGTCAAAGTTTTGGATATTTATTGGGTATTAAAACGACTCGCATATTAAAATATTTGTTTTTAATTTATAGTATTCGTTCCTTTTATATTTTTTTTAAAGAGTTCATAGCTATATGTATCCTCTCTGATTTTCCACAATAACTTTGCTATTAACTCAAATAGTTACGAAATAATGTAAAAATTAACAAGGAGGTGTCACAATTTACATTCGTTTTTTTTCGATTTCCCACAAATTTACTTTTTTGAGTTCGGTCGGTTTCATCCTAAAGGTGCGATATGTAAACGACATGCATTTTTACATAAATCACTGTTCATGCTACCAGTTTGCTGATGACACATGTTTGCTAGTCGCCGATAAAGACCCTGATATAGCATGTGACCTGTTACAGTCTGACTTTAATATGCTTGCAAAATGGTGTCATGACGCCGGATTGGTTCTGAACTCCTCTAAAACCAAGCTGTTACACATAAAGTCTCCTTATATCAAGTGTACTTTATCCAAGCACATTGTTGCTCACGATCATAATTGCCTTCACTCGTCTTGTAAAAGCACTTGCAGTTGCCCCTCTATAGATCTCGTCAATACCCATACATATCTTGGAATGCAGATCGATAGTAAGTTTGCTTGGCATAACCACATCGAGTGTGTTTGTAACAAGTTAAGACAATTCTTAGCTAATATTATAATACTGAAGAACAGAATTCCGTTCCCAGTTAAGATGATGTTATATAACTCTCTGGCAGAATCTTATATACAGTATGGTCTAGGTAGCTATGGTCGTACATTTAATACTTATTTAAACAAAATATATAACCTCCAGATAAGAATCCTTAAAAACATTGTAACAGACAAGATTCGACGTCAATTTCATGATGACGATAGTATGCTCTTTAAGCACTGCAATATACTACCAGTTCATACACAAGTCAAATATTTACTTTTAAAAAAACACTTTTTTAATGAAAAGTTAAAATTAGAAATGAAGCACCCCGTGTGTACGCGCGCCGTAAGCAGCCGCAAGCTGCAGACGAGCCAGGCAAACAATATGTACGGGGAACGAACAGCAAGTTACATTGTTCCACGACTTATAAACAAGCTACCCCCAGATTTCCGCGATAACTTAAATATCAAAAACATTAAAAAAAAACTTAAAATGTACTTTTTATGTAATTTATAAAAAAAATTACTACTTGAAACAGCGTATATGCGTTTGCTCAGGTCCTAATTAGGCTGTAATGTTTCCTTTTTACAAACTATATTAATTATACTTAATGTAACGTCTACTCTGGTCGCGTCATCACAAACCTTAGTGGTTTTCTGTATGCGACTTTTTAGTATAGTTTTTTGTAATGCTTTGTAATATGGTAAATAAATTAAAAAAAAAAATAACATATATGTATGTAGGTACCACAATGATACGTAATTATTTTTATAAAATAATATGACTTCAATAAAATAATTAGACGATGACCAAACAAATATCGACTTAAAAATCACAACACTATCGATACACGTGCTGTTGTCAGACAAAGACAACTACTGTAATTTACGTAACGAGTGAAGGGGATATTTCAAAAAGACATCAACGGGTGCTTAATTGTTATCACTTTTCACCATTTAATTACCAGTATTAGTTGATCTCCGGTACATTTGAAATAGGTTAACGTGATAAGAATAGAATTTACTTACCGATTAAATGTTATGCCATCTTTTTGATAACTAGACATCTTAGCTGACTTGCCACATCATTTCACTGCACAAGAAGCCATTTGTGATGTATTTTGGATACAAAACTATTTTTAAATTGTCAAGAACTCGGACGTGCCTACGAGTCACAAACTTGGTCATAACTGATGTCGTGATTTTCAGCGTCACTTCGTATGCTAGCTACAGCAAGTATGTGTTGCGCGCGGTTGTGGACCTGTATGCGGAATCTATTAGAAGGTAATCTATGGCTGCGCCTGATTTGACGCATCTTGTGGAGTACCAGTAGGTCAATGGAGGTATGCAGGTGGTGATGTCTGCTGGGACTGTATGGGGGACCTTGGGATGGTGTAAGCCGACGATAGTGGTATTGATGCTTGTTGCGTTCTGCAGCATTGCGTCTCTGCGATGGTTGTTTGGCGAGTCGCTATTCTCATTAGCGCTCCCTGCGTCTTGGTTTGACTCACAACCTGAGTAGTTTGCCCAAGTCGGGTCCCTTCATTGCGGGGCTGCAGACTGTTTGACCTCCATGATGTTTTATATAACAACATAATAATATATGTCTAAAGTAGTGGGTGAGACAAACATGATCGAAAAACGCATATACTCAACGTCAGTGACACAAACCCTTTCTGATGGCGAATTATTACTATTATCTTATATCTTCGGTGGTAGAGCCACGCAGCAGCTTTTGCTGTTGCACGTATGGGCCGGCTCGAGCCGGGTTAGTACCACGACCTCACAGAATACCGACGTGAAGTAGAAGCTCTGCTTCTGCATTTCGCCTGGTGAGTGCAGGTGACCGGAGGCCAAATCCCCCCCCCCCCATCAACATGGTAGCGGAATTAAATCATAGACTACCCCAGGAGGGTACCAGCACCCCTGGAGAACCCCTCGCTGAGCATCCACGACCATGCTACTCC